TCTGTGGTCCCAGCTACTCGGGAGGCTGAGGCAGGAGAATGGTGTGAACCCGGGAGGCGAAGCTTGCAGTGAGCTGAGATCATGCCACTGTACTCCAGCCTGGGTGACAGTGCGAGACTCTGTCTTAAAAAAATAATAATAAATAACCATCTTAAGTATAGTAAAAGTCTTGGTTCCTGGTGGTCCATCAACCAAAATTTTCTAACAGCAATCCTGTGTTCTCCAGAGGACAGTGGCAATGTAGTCCTGCCAGAGACAACCTAAATGCATTAAAAGATGCAGGCCCCCCTTCTGAAGCACCAAACAGGGCAGTAGAAGATCAGAGATCAGGGATGTCTGGGACCTGATCTGTGCCCAGCAAATTCTAAAATTACAAACTCTGTTCAAGGAAAACCAAAGAAAAGAAAAGCTGATATCACACAATGATTCAAAAGCTGACTGAAGCTCCACATTTTGACAACCTCCAGTTGCAAGCGTTCTTTTGGTGTTTCCTACTGCCATACAGATTTATATTTATATCACCTGTGTTCTCACAATTACTATTTAAGCTCAAAACCAATAATGTTTTGTTGGACCACAGCCACATCATTTGATTATAAATTGTCTCTGGCTGCTTTTGTACTACAATGGCAAGAGTTAAGTAGCTGTAACACACATGCCCTAGATATTTACTCTCCAGCTCTTTAAAGAAAAGTTTGCTGACACCTGGTTCCAAGCAGTTGTTGGCTATCAAATAAATAACAGATCCTGCTTCCCTGGCAGAACAGCTTGGTGTGATGGAGATAGGCAGTTACAACTCACTGTCCCACCCACATCTGTGACGGCAAAACCTCTTGTCATCTGCAGCCTGTGGGCCACTTCCCCATAACCTGTACACTCTATCAAACTGTTCTTTATCATAAACAGTATGGCTTTCATAAATGGATAATCACTGAAAATAAATTTTAGAGCAATTCTCCTTAGGTACTTCCAGTGATTACATTATATTCACAGAATATTCAGAGTGGTTGCATTCTATCCTTTGACAACTCCTCATTCTTGATTGTATTTATGACAATGATTTGATTAAACAAGAATTATGTTTCATGTGCATGGTTTTGTTGAGGAATAAGCCCTTCCACACAAGTAACTTCCCAGATAAATGTGACTTGTTTCCAAGCAGAAACACACTTTAACCATTTGGATGGTTAAGATGGAAATCTTAAAACAGAAAGGGAGGGAGAGAGAGAAGGAAGAAAGGGAGGGAGGGAAGGAGGGAGGTAGGGAGGGAAGGCTATTATAACTGTTTGAGCCTTAAGCACAATAATCAATCATTTCTTATTTAGATTTATTTAGAGTTATTACCAGGAACATCACCTACTGGAGTGTGTTAGGTAACGATGTCCTCAGGGCTACTGAAATTCACTGGGTCTCAGCTTCACATCAACTGGCTTGCTCAGACTGTTATAACTGCCATTCTGGCATCTCTGTATATGATCCTTTGTCTTCCTCCTCCACTCCTGCCTACTCATTTGTGTGTCTATGGTCACCAATCATCCCCACACATCCTCTATTTACTACTGCTAATTGGCTGTGGGCTAGAAAAGCGAATAAACTAGTCTTGTTAGATTTATTTGCAAAAGGGTAGTCATTTTGGGTAATAGGCCTTCAGGGAACAACTGCTAAGCTCTTCACCACATAGTCCTTGAGGGGAGGAGGCCCTCCCTTATTAGCCCAGTAACTGGCACAGAGTAGCCACTTAATACACGTGTTGATTAAATGAATGCATGAGCTTTGTGATCCCAGCCTCTTAGAGGCATTGTCTGCTTACTTTCAGGACTGTGACTATATTCTGGATGGTGCAGTGTGTGTCAAGTAGGACCATGAGGTAAGTGGACTGACTCTTACTCAAGTAACCAGAATGTTCTCTCCTCAAACAACGTGGGACCAAAGAGTGTACAGAAGAGCTCTGTTTTCCCATGACCCTCACTGGTGAGTAAGAACCTGTGATCTAGGAAAGGACCAAGCCAAAGGTGTACCTGGCAGGGCCAGACACCAAGTTCTGACCTGAAGGGCACATTCCACACTTAGAATTTCAAAATATCCCAATCAAAACCAAGAAAGGCATACTGCTACAAAAAGGTTGCTTAACCCCCAGACCTCCCAAAAGCAACAAAAGTAGCTTTCAAGTAAGGATTTGTTCCTTAAATTAGCCAACTGAAAATCTGAGAAATATGGCCAAACAAAACAAAAACAAAAACCATGAAACAAACTGTATATGTTCCCTTTATCCTGCCCCTAACAAAAACAAAAAAGGCAAATATAGACCCCCTTTTCCTTTTCTATTTTGAATTAGAGAAACTCCAATCCTTAGGGTTGAGCAGTAGACCTTTGCCAAGGACCCACCTCCCTACAAGTGTCCTTACTTCCAAGGAGCTCTGGGACAGGGCCCCAAAGATGGGCCCTAAACCCCAAACCACCCCTGTCAGCACATGCTCTCAGAGGGGCAGCCTCCTCTAGTTCCCCCTCCGTGTCTCCTTCACCCCGGCCCCTTGCCCTGTTTGCTCTTTAAAAACTCCTCTCTTTATTCAGTTCAACTCAAAGACATTCATGGAGCAGTCACTAAATGCAAGGAGCTGTGCAGGGAGCTCACACATGAGGGATGATGTGGACAATAATCTGTGTGTGCTGCCCTGCTCAGGCCCTGCCAGTTCCCTCCCCCAGCTCCCAACCTAATAACACTAGTCTTATTTGCTTTTTTCCTACTAACCTGCAAGTTCCATTTTATTTAGCTCTGTAGCCTAGTGTTTGGTATATGTGCTCAAATCAATAGTTCCTGAGTGACTGGTCACATATATCAAACAGACACACCCACAATAATGCTAACACTTAGCTGACTAATGAATAGTACAAAAAAGGGGCAAACAGTACCAGAAAAACCCAAACACCACAAGCAACAAAAACCCCAACAATCATAAGTGAAATAAATAGATTTTCCATGGCAAGGACTTCTGAAGGGGTTGGCTCTGAGCAGCGCCTGGAGCCAGGTGAAGCATACTGCTTACAAAACGGCAAGGGGGGCCGGGTGGGCCTGGCAGGAAAATTGGTGGTAGTAGTGGGGAACGGGAGGGGCAGGATGTCCAGGGCTCTGTGTGTGTGTCTGTGGACACATGCAAGCTTTG